GGTATATATATATATATATATATATATATATATATATATATATATATATATATATAGATATAAATATATATATATATATATATATATATATATATATATATATATATAATGCAATTCTTTGATACAGGTCACCGTTTGATATTCGTATAAAAATATGAAGGGCTGTTCATTAAACATGAGCTTTTGTATCTACAGTCTCAACAGTATTAGTCAAGAACAAGTTCATAATTTAAAGTGTTCTTCATAAGGTAGGTTTCTGCAATTCATTATTTGTTTTATCACTCAGTAGTACGTAAGTCCTCTTTCTCTCTCTCTCTCTCTGTATATATATATATATATATATATATATATATATATATATATATATATATATATATATATATATATATATATATATATGTATATATATATATATATATATATATATATATATATATATATATATATATATATATATATATATATATATATATATATATATATATATATATGTATGTGTGTGTGTATGTATATAAGATACTTTCGGCTTTGTTCGGATGTGTAGGTGGCCTTTGTTATGGACAAGAGAAACAAATTCACACTGTTTATGAAGATTAAACTTACAAAACACGTGGTTGGTGATTTCTGACAGCGTCCTATTTCTGCTCGCAAGCCCAAAAATACCCCACCTATAAGACTATTTCATTCATGATAATGGCAAAAGGGCAAAGCCGCGAAGATCCTATCGGGAATATCTGAAACTACAAACTGATGTAGAAAACCTATATGTTGTTTACGGTAAAGACAATCAAAAACTGATGCTGATAAACATATGGCATCCTGAGAACTGATAAGAGTCGGTAAATGTAAAAAAATGGCACTGGGTGTTCATGAAACTAATACAATAATCTTAGCATCAAGATACGTTAAACCATGATTACACTTGTGCATGTTATCATTATTTATTCTATATTGTTACCTGTCCATGTCTTGCAAGTGTCTATTGATACCTATCAATGTCTTATTGTGACATGTCCATATCTTGCTAGTGTTATTATTGCTACCTGTTCATAACTTACTAGTGTCCTTGTTTTTATCTGTCCATACCTTGCTATGTTCTTTACTGTTTCCTGTTCTCAGCTTGCTAATGCCTTTATTGTTACATGTCTTGCAAGCGTCCTTATTTTCAATTGTTCACATCTTGCTGGTGTCCTTTTTATTACATGTCCATGTCCATGCATTGCTAGTATACTTAATGTTACCTTTTAGCACCTTGCTTGTGCCCTCATTTTTTACCTGCCCATATCTTGCTAGTGTCGTTATTGTTACCGTCCCATACTTTGCTAGTGTCATTATTACCTGTTCATAGCTAGCTAGTGTCCTTATTGATACTTGTCCATACTTTGGTTTTGTCCTTGTTGTCACCTTTTTATATCTTGCTAGAGTCTATTGTCACCTGTCCAAACCTTGTTAGAGTCGTTATTGTTACCTGTCCATACCTTGTTAGAGTCGTTATTGTTACCTGTCCATACCTTGTTAGAGTCGTTATTGTTACCTGTCCATACCTTGCTAGTGTCTGTATCTGAGGAATGAAAAACATTTAGGTAAGAAAGTCATTTACAACGTTCCAATTGCTTATTTATAACTGGGTTCTCCATGTGTGTGTGTGTGTGTGTGTGTGTATATGTGTGTGTCGTAAACAATTGTAACAAAGTCATTCGCAACGTTCCAATTGCTTATTTATAACTGGGTTCCCCATGTGTGTGTATGTATGTGTGTGTGTGTGGGTGTGTGTGTGTGTGTGTGTGTGTGTGTGTTGTAAAATATGTGGCCATGACCAGTTGTAAATTTCGCATGATGAGTACATATCAACTGGGCGCTTATTCGTCTAATGAAGTCTCCAAAGTCTTAGAGGAATTTATAAGACAGGGAAGAATCATATGTCAATTTCCGTTTAATTTATTGAAGTTCATTTTGTTCCTTTCAATTGCTTTCATAGAACAATTGGTACAATAATGGCGCAATAAAACACGAACAAAGCCGCAATATTGTTTCCAAGTCATTGATTTCAAAGAATCAATGGGTGTTTGAAATAACTGACTGGAATGCCTTCTGCAGGGTACCGTCACGAAGAAATTAAGGAGGCACATGAAAGGGAGTTCGAAGAAGTTTAATGTATTTCATTTATATTGCGAACGCTATTCTCTATTTCTCTTTGTATGGGTTCAAAACATTAGTTATGCATGGGTACTTCAATTTAATCCTTTGAACAGTTGTAAACTTGAAAGGAATACCCGTCGCTTTCAGTGCTGCTACTCTCTCTCTCTCTCTCTCTCTCTCTCTCTCTCTCTCTCTCTCTCTCTCTGTGACCATGTTAACAATCAAAAGAAAGCATACATACACAATAAAATAAGTGATAGCATAACTAAACAAAGCACATTGGTTGTAAATGGTAGTAGCATAATTAAACGAAACATTCTTTTAGTGATAGCACAACTAAGCGAAGCGTATTGTTTGTTAGTGATAGCATAACTAAATAAGGCATGATGTTTGTAAGTGATAGCATAACTAAATAAAGAATAATGTTGTAAGTGACAGGATTACTAAACAAAGTATAATGTTTGTAAGTAATAACATAATTAAACGAATCATATTGGTTGTAAGTGATAGGATTGCTAAACAAAGAATGTTGGTGTAAGTGATAGCATCAGTAAAAAAGCATATTGTTTGTAAGTCAAATCCTTTTATATTAGATTAAACAGACCGGACAGTCTGCAATTTGACAGAAAAGAATGGTACTGACTAGATTGGTTGAGTATTTTCCTCCCCTGTCTGTATGTCTGTCTCTGAAAGAAAACTGACAGAAAAGTCATATTTAACAAAACCAAAGCATGTATAAAATTGGAATAAATTCAGATCTGAATGAAAATTTCTAGATCTATTATAAATAAACGGACACAGTCAGAACCTAAAATACAGTATTTGGTCCATTGTCAGCCAGAACTTAGAAACATTTTATCATGTCCGTCGTCAGTCAGAACCTAAAAAACGTTATTAGGTCCATTGTCAGCCAGAGACTAAAACACATTATCAGGTCCAGCGAAACAGCATAAGTGAAGCCTCATTTTGTCACGATAGGTATTGTATTTTTAAAAGAAAACATTTTAATTTATGAATTTTGATAACTGCTTGAATCAAGTAAATTCGTGAGCATTCTTTCCTCTGCTAATCATTATGAGAATGATATAACATTTGTCTTGAATGATAAAAATCGTCTATTGCTAAATTTAAATATGTTGATGTAAGCGTGCGCCACCTCTGAAAGGTCGCATTCGGACTTAAAAAGCTATTATATTTAATAGATCAAAAAAGCAAGCGATGTTTCGCGGTAACTATCTGATAATATTGATAAAGTTCTATCTCATATGAAACATCCCTTCAGCATCTTACGTTACCGTTTGATACCATTCTTTAGTCGTGTGCTTTATGCCCGACGGGACAAAACGTTTTTATACGAGATAGGTGTCTTTAAAGTCGAACACAAATTGTCTCATACACATTGCTATTTTATATGTATATCTGTTTCAAAGAAATATTAGTAATGTAAAATTACCCTTTTCTTTTCCCCGCTAATGTGCACTTTCAAAGAACTGCGATAGAAATAATCTATTTTAAGAAATAATCAAGCAGGATTTCCCAGTTTCTTATCCTCTTCATTTCAGCTCAGCGGTTAAGAATGAGATCAGGTACCAGATATTAGATAAAGCCATAATAATTACCCTATTGCTTGACAAAAATGAATACCTGATGCTTAATTTATTCTTGGATTCTATCTTTGAACGGAATGAACTTCAGCTACATCGTCTTATCATTGGTCAAAACAGAGTTATCAGTCCTCATGATGATACACAATGCTTACATTAATTCCTAACTTAAGATATTTGGATAATGCTGGTGCCCAGTGGATTCTAAAAATTAGCATGTGCTTTAATTTGATCCTCTTAATTTAACATCTGAAATAATCGTTTTAATAGTATCGATAATATTTTAGAATCGTCTTGGTAAACTTGTAAACTATGAAAACATATATGATAAAATATTTAATTCTCAAACAGCCCTTCATCAACTAGAAGTTCATTAATTTTAAAATTTTTATGGCCTGGTTTTCTACATTAATAAAAGTAGGATATTTAGTGCTCAGAGATTTGTAGTTATGTGCTTGCCAAAATACACACCTTGGTCGACAAACAGGATTAGTCTCATGGTTGGATTCAAACACATATTTTTCGATTACGAATAAAGCAGTCTAACCGCTCCGTCGCCTTGGCCCTCCCTCTCCCCTGTTGACATGGATATTGTGATAGGATAATTAGTCTTATTTTTAATGCCTATTTGTGTCTTTCGTTTGACGTGTAAGAAGTGAAGAACACATTATTGCGAGATTTTCATTACGAGACATTCTCATGAGTGGAGAGACAATGGACAACACGTGTGAAAATTGTTTTGTGAATAATCTGATTGAAATGTCAGTTGCATCTCTACTAATATGAGATGGTTTTGTTCAATAACAAATTGTCGCCTTAAAATAGCTAAGAGCAATGTTCTTGTAATTGAATCGTCACCGTACTGTTATAATTATTTAGGTATAGGAACGAGGTTCTCCACCATGGCACGCGTCTATTTGTTGACAGAACGTAATAAGGATGAAAAACACGCCAGAGAAACCGTTTCTTCAGCAAGAAATTCCATCGCTATCTCATATACCAGTAGAGTGTGTGTGTGTGTGTGTGATTTAGATTTTTAACGTAGCTTTAACAATTATTCAGTCATATCTCTATGATGTTTGCAGTGTGGCACTTTATAGTGATGTCTAGCACTGGGGCATCATGCCGCAGACATGTAGCATGATGTCCCACCCAGTCACATTATCCTGACACCAGGCCGACCAGTCCTAACACTAACCTCTTAATGCTGAGCGTCAAGCGAGGCAGCTGTTAGTACCATTTTTGTAAGTCTTTGGTATGACTCGACCGGGGATCGAACCCGCGACCTCCCGCATCCAAGGCGGACGCTCTAACCAGTAGAGTGAAGACTGATGACGAGTTACGAAGGAATAAAGTAGTATTACAGTCTTGTTCTTGTATTCTGCCAGAATATTTGTGTATTATTTTGACAGAGAAAATCATATTTTCCATGAAAAGATGTGTGTGCGTGCTTGCGTGTTGTTTCACCATATATAGATTCTTTTCAACTATATAAATTGTACAAAGGTTAAGATGAGCCAAGGAAGCATTTTTCAACTTATTGTTACCGTTATCCTTCCTGTTCACAAATAGCACCTGTGGGAAAATGTATCTTTGTGAAACAGACAAGGATTGATTGGACTCACACGAATCAAGGAGTTCAGTGTTGTGTATTTTGCATCTCTTCAATTCGTGCACGCTTTGAATAGATTCGTGCACTCTCTAAAACGTTTCTATTTCTGAGAAAAAGTCCAGTACTGACAAATAAACATAAAACCATCTCGTTCAAATCATATTATGAAATTGTACACAAATAGCGCGCGCGCGTGTGTGTATGCGTGCGTGCACGTGTGTGATATATTGATATGATTACCGCTGGACTTTCAATGTGACAAAAGTACCTTTCAACGTCTATATTGAACCATGACAAGAATTGCCTGCAAAAATTAAACAATTACCGATGAGGATTACAGCCAACATAAACAAGAGGTTCCGAGTGGCCGCATTTTCTAAAGAGTTCTCCTTTACCGTTCACTGTCCTCTCACCTTTATCTCGAACTCAGCTAATACGGGTAGGAGTAAAGAATTGCCAGCAGTTTCATGTGGGTGAGTATTCCTTACCTGAATTTTCCTGGGTTCTTCCTCCACCAGTTATGCTGGCCGCCATATATATGATGCACTAAAAAATGGTGCAAAACCCATAAAAACACATCATACACATAAATAGCAAAATAAACACAAGTACATACGACGTATCCACTTTGACACACGTAAAAAAAGTGAGCAGGGTTACGAACCAATATGAAAGGTACCATCTTGGAACGGTCTGATGGTCTGTCTTGTTACACAGATTTAAACTAGTTACACGAGTCCAAGCATTATTCTTATCCATAACCATCATTTATGACAAAATCCCTATCTTCGTAGGAAATGCTCTCTGCAAAAAAAAAAAAAAATAAAAAAAATGACAAAGTAAATATGATGATAAAGCAAGAAAGGAACCAAGGTTTAAACCAGCGTGATAATTAAAACTGAATGAAAATAAGGAAGAAAAGGTATCAAGTATTTCAAAATGATCTTCAGTGGAGGTCTACAAAAAAGAGCATATAGACTGTTTAAAGCAAAGTTAACGCTACCGCCCAGTGATATACAAAAGAAATTAGTAGTTATGTTTTTGTACGTACCATCATGACATGTGTTATCATAGACGCATCTTTCCTGTAGTTGTTTACAATATATGCTCCCGCCGGGAAACACTTGAAAATACGCAAGTATAGTTTAATCCTTAGAAACTGTCTGATTATGAAAACTATTAAGTGCCTGGGATTGAGGGAAGTAAACATGAAGCTAAAAACAGAAGAAAAGATAACAAGAAAAGTTAAATGATAATGAAACGACAGTCTTATCAAATACTCGTATCTGAATGCAACACTCTATTCGTCTCCACGAATTATTTGTAAGAAGATAAACATTCTAAAAATTTCAGTATTTTAGAATGCATATTGGAATTTTAGTTAATATACATGGGAATGGTAATCGATTAATATATATATATATATATATATATATATATATATATATATATATATATATATATATATATATATATATATATATATTTATGAGACTAATTATGGATAGATATTAAAATGGTAATCGATATATATTTAGCTATTTTGATTTCTCATAAATGGCAGCTCCCTACTCAATGTTATCAATTTTTCATATTATGCATAACGTTGTTTTTAATCTCAAATGATATATATTGAGTAAATAAATTTCTAAAAAGTTGGCTTGATTATATTTGCACAGAATCTGGTTAATCTGGTCATTTTAATTAATTAAACTAATAGGCATTACTGTAGATGAAGCGCTTTTTGACAAGATTTGTAAAGTGAGAAAATATACAAAATATATAGAAAACTTGAAAACATGTAAACAGCTTTGCGTTTTATTATGAGGAGAAGATTCATTGCTCTTATAAATCGTATTTTCTTGCCATCATCTCTCTCATCATATATTCATGTAATAAAGATGTGATAAATATAAGCAGATATCATATGAGAATGAGAAATATCTAGTTCTCAATATCAATTTCTCTATCAACTCACATACACAGACACAAACACCCACGCACATGCACGCATTCACGCACGCACACACATGCTTTTTTATGCGAGATTGATAAACAGGTAGAAAGATCTGTTCTTTTAATTTCTAAAGTGGCAAGATTTTTTTTTACTCCTTACTTACCTGAATATATATTCATATCAAACTGTAGTATATATAAACCAAAGAATATTTTGTAATTCAATTTTTGTTTTCCCAGTGCCACACAGTTGCACGAAAATAACAGGAAAACATGTATACTATAAGGAAAGTATAAGATCCTCCATTTCTGCAAAGATCAGACTGAGCCTATGTGGAAATGTGATAAAGATTGCCAGTATCATCCGGTAGGTCCATGGTACTTCCCGTGGTTTATCCCGGTCGTCCTCACCAGTTTTAATAGCCGCCGTGCATAGGTTATCATGTATTGAAAAGACCACAACAAAACACGAACTTCCCATTGCTAAAAGAGAAAATAAGAATTTTTTGAAATTGTTGCTCTATTTACTCTAATATATTCCAACAAAATATACAAAGTTGACCTGCAATATTACACAAAATATGTCAAAAGCATGTTATGTGCTCGCGATAGCAATGAAACTTGATAGCGATAGCAATGAAATGTGCTAACCATAGCGGTAAAATTTGAAAGTGGAAATGAGAAGATTAGGCTGAGAAGATAGGAGTAAGAAATGTACATATTCACCTTAAATATTCACTACAATTTGCAGATACATGCATGCCAATAAGTATTATTCTAAAAAATAACATTCTAAACACAAAAATACCATGTCATCTGAAAACACCCAACAAAGTCGTTTTAGCAATAAAGGAGAAAGAGTCATGATGTGATACATTCATAATAGGTAATTTGTCCTTTCATCTGATATAAAAAAAGAATCCAGGTAATCTTTGATTCATGGCTAACATTACATTTGAAAAAATATTTCAATTTAATGGTAATGACAAACAATATTAAATTAAGTACTGATACCTGATATGAAGTGGAAATACAAAATACGAACTACTTTTAACACAACATATCTCAGAATAAAGTTTATTAAAACTAAACAAGTATTTTGAGCCAAAGCAAGTACAATTATTTATCGCAGAATGATGATTTGACTTCGTCTACATACATACATACATACATACATACATACATACATACATACATACATACATACATACATACATACATACATACATACATACATACATACATACATACATACATACATACATACATACATACATACATACATACATACATACATACATACATACATACATACATATATATATATATATATATATATATATATATATATATATATATATATATATATATATATATATATATATATATGAGGAGGTTTTTGAAAGTAGACCTTAGAAGACTTTTATATATGTGAACAAGTGATCTCAAACATGGACTTGAGAGACCCTGTTTGTATCTTAATGTATTCCTAATACATTGGAATTTGTCTTAAATATGCAAAAACGAAAGCAATGCACAACCAATTATAAGAATTTAACTTCCTTCAAATTCAACTGTCTACAATGCATTTTCCTTTGATTACCACCCGTATCTTTTTAAAAAGAGCAACTTTTAATCTAATATAACAACACAGAGACCATTACATTGTAAAGCAAAACCCAAATTCAAGCAAAAATAGGAAAGAAATATGTGAAGAGTGATATCTTACAACACACACACACATACACACACATACACACACACGCTTTAATGATGTATGATGACGTCATTGCGATCAGACCTAATGGCGGCCGCTATAGGAGGCACGGTACTAATTCAGTTCACATAGTAAAAGTATGAAAACACCATGCTATTAAAAATTGAATGACTTAAAATTTCTGAGTGTCCATGATCAAACCTATATTTGTTAGTATAGGCGAAACTTGGAAGTCAGCTTCTCTGTAGAGGAAAGGATATGAGCCGCAGTATTCTCTGGACCTGCGTGTGTTGTGTTTGAAACATGTTCTTTCAACTCCGCACCAAAGAGTCAAGTACTAATGTTTGCAATGAGTGTTCCAAATTCAAGACTATTAAAGGACTTTAATTCCGTCAAGGAAACAATGTTTCTATTTATTTTTTTTCACTTATAACTAGGATAGGCTCTCAAAACATTCCTTTTCCTGAAACATAACTTTCATTATTAACCAATCCTGGTCAGCCAAACCCATATATACTTTACTAAATATTCTCCCATTTCCAGCTGGTTTCCATTTTTCCATACAATTAGTATCGTGTATCCTATATCCAGCCTTGATTGTTTGACAGCCCAGTTCAATACATAAGTAAGCAATGTGTAAAGTTCTGCTTGTCAAAGATTGCATTAGTGAATATTAAATTATATTGCAGTTTCAATTTCACCTAAAAAATGGCGCATTTCAGGCAACATTTAAATATATGATCCGTATTTAAGAAAATCAAAAAAATATTAAACTAATGCTGTCTAATTAGAGTCATCATTTTAACATCGCCATTTATCTCTCTTCAATTTAATTCTGAAATATATGACGAGAATTGTCATATTATGTAATTAAGGGTTAAAGGTCAAGATGACCATCTCTATGTACATGTATTATTACAGAAAAGAGATTTAAATGACATAAATTACGTAAAATTTCTCCCAGAACACATAATTTAAAACTAAAGTATGGTATACACGAGTCCATTAAAATGCAAAATATGAAGTTTCAAAACATTTACTGACAGACGTTAGTGGTGTGCAAA